TCCAAAGACTACCCTTTAATGATGATAAATTTTCAATTTTCTTTTCTCAAAATTCTTCCACCATAAAAATCTCAAATAGTCTTGATCTTTTTCGGCAATAGAAATCTGTACGAAGACGTTTCCTATGTCCGAGATGATGCCAACCGGCCTTTCCCGGAACCTCAGTAGTAGTGGAAAGATTTTCTCTAAGAGGTTTGGTCCTTTCTCTAGAACATCACTGAGTGAAGGATAATGATCAGATCTATAAGAGGAATCGAAAACAGGTCGAACGCTTGTGGAGTTTTTCTTGAAAACGCCTCAATAGAGTAAATAATGGCATGGAATTTTATTTCTTTCCTTAGGTGGTACTTCTTCAATAATATTCTCTGCTAACCGTTCTTGGAAAACAGCTTCATAATCTGCATATCTGCCTTTCTTAATAAGTTTCTCCGCAGTTGATGCACACGTGTGCTCTGCAACTAATTTATTTTCCTTCAAAATCCCCTGTTCTTCTAACCAAAGCAGCTTCACGATGTACCGACCTTCTTTATTCTTTCTCACCGTTCGTGGAACTGTTGCATAACTAACTGATGTGTCTCTTCTTTAGATTTTATTTCAACAGGATTTCTGATGCCTAGAGCATCTAAGTTCTACAGATCAGCAAATGATGCATTTTTTAACAGTAGAGAGGTGATTAAGTTTAGCAGAGGTGCGAACAGGATTCTCATCAAACATTTTGCCCATGATAAGCCAACCAAAAAGCGTTTCGTATGCGACTAAGCCACACTTAAAATAATAATTTTTCCCCTTAAACAAATGACCATAAAAATCAGCTCTAACCAATATCTCGATATCGGGAAAATTCTCTCCATAATCATTAAGCCATATATATCTTCTTTGCTTTTAACTCTTTTTCCCATGATCATCCTTTCTTTAGTCGCGGAATTTTTCCACAAATAATAGACTGATCTAGAGCTTCTATCTTACAAGAAAATTTATTGTTTAAGGATTCAATGTCAAGTTCATACTGATGGTGCTCCTTCATCTCTATCGTTAATCCTCCAAAAAGAGCGTGAATCAAACACCTGTTACCAGTTGGTTCCATACCCATCTCTTCCACAGTTGCCCTCAATATGTTTGAATGTTGGAAGCCACTATCGATAAGTACTCGTACTTGTTTTTCTTTATTTCCTAATTTCAATCTAACCTGTAACGTTTGAAATAGAACTTCACCAGAGTAACAATGATTTGACAGGCTGTTATCGCTAGGTTTTGATTCTTCAGATTAAAGAGAATTCTTAATTTGTTAGTTTTCAGCTCTGGACACATTAAAACTAAATATTTTTTCCACAAAGAATACGTTTAATATTTATCTTGCAACATTATAATCGATGTCCATCTCTTAAACATATAAAGCAGACTTTCTTATCCTCCAAAATAGCTTGTTTCTGCTTGAAATTCATAGTTTGAGACTTAAAACAATCTCTGCTCTGTTCTTGTGTGCCTTTTCACAAAATACACAAGCTCCGTTTTGTTTTCTCTTTTCGAAAACTCCAAAAAATAAATCTGCAGCTGTCAGTTGATTAAGAGCTGTAGTCATCTTTTTTTTTTTTTTTTTTTCCCCCCCCCTTTTCTTATATTTATTTTAGAACCCAAATTTCTCTAAAAGAACTCGCTCCTCTCCTTCTACTTCCGTTTTCATAAACAATAACAAGCTTTTTAGCTTTTCAGAGTATGGATTCTCCTCTGACTCATCCAATGTACTAACTATCGGATTTCACAACCACACCCTAAAAATGTCCTCTGGTATGGAAGGTTCAATGAGAGGAAAAGCATTGCAGAATATTTATCCGAAGTCAAGCTAATGGGTTCCAGAGCTCTCAAATAGGATTCCGATTTATCGTACAGTCTAATAGTGCCTAATTTTCGGTTAGTGCCTGTAGCATTTTTTTACGACTAACTTACTTTGTACGTAGTTCTCAAAAATAATTCATCTCGACCAAAACAAGATTTTAGGCATTCTACCACTTTATTCTAATTTTCACCTGTTGGCGGATAACTGTTAACAATATCACGAGCTTTCGTGTCTTTAGACATGCACTGTATTAAATACTGAAACTTATCCTCATTTTCTATATTTTCATCTTCATGAATTCTTTGGAATTGGCTCCAAAATGCCAGTCCTTAATTTCACCGGTAAAATTTAACGAGTTCAATCTGGTAATTTCAGTTTCGTTTTAACTTGAACGGGAGAAGAACAAACTGGTTACACTGATCCTTTAAAATTTTGTTCATACAAATGTGTACTTTTACTACAATATTATCAACCTTCTCATTGTATTCTTCAATAATCAAATCCTCGCGCTCATTTTTTCTGCATCAGAATCTGCAACTAATAAACTACTTATTTCAGAATTGAAACTAGAAATCTGAGCATGTAGCCTTTTTAAACTAGCACAATTGGAACGAATTTCTACCTCATTAAGTTTTTCCTGGCTTAATAAATCACGCAAGGCATTAAAACGTTTAGTAAAATTGGCTCTTACAGGTGAGCGCTTCTTTACTAATTAAAACTTTAACCGTATTTATCTTCAAAATTCCAAAGACATGACGTCACTGTTCACCACTAATCTTGCGTTGAATCTACCTGAATATTTATTCATTCAGCCATTGAATTAAATCTGACTCCATTCCATAACTCTTGAAAAGAAATATTTAAAGTAAATAATTATATTTCTTTGCTTAAGAAAGCCAAAACTTTATTTCATACGTTTTGCACACTTCAGGAAATCAAAACATTATTATTCTAATCTTTCTTCTTATTGGCAAAAAACAAAAACAAAAACAAAACGTCGTCTAAATTAAAAGGAAAACAACAACCGTTGAATATTGTTGACAAATATAAAATCATGGAGCTCGCAACAAGTGGTCTGAATTTAGAGAGAACAAAGAAAGAACCCAGCCAGTGTTCTCTTCAGGTTCGACGAAAACGGAAACTTACCATTTTCCTGAACTTCTTATTCGTGTGGGCGTTGTGAAGGACGATTTCGTGAAATCAGAAACGCGATCTTATGCAGCAGTCGGATAGAAATCCGGACAGCATTGAATCCCAAGAAGCTCCACTAGAGAAAGAGTTTTAAATGAAGTATAGCAGTTGTTTTTGTATTATTTTCTTATACCACCACTGTTGTTATTGTGAAGAAGGGTAATTTTAACTTAAATTAACTGGCATAAAAGGAATTAAAAAATTTTTTAATTAATGGAAAATTTGAAGTGCTTAAATAATGTTAGATATTAAGGAAAGGAACAGAAATTTGAATGCTAAAATTGTTACAAATTTGTTAGGATTAAATTAAAACTGTTATAAATTTGTTAGGATTAGATTATGCTAAAATGAGGAAATTTTAGAAACAAAACTGAATTCAAGAGTAATTTTCTATATTATTCGAAAAGGCCGATTTGTATGCCTTAATGAATGTAACTAATTCACTGTTAAGAAAATGATACTGTTAGGGGCTTAGGCAGTTATTGGGACACAGCCTTAATGCTTGTTTTAAACCAGAAAATTAATAAATTTGTTTGATTGCTAACTCTAAAATGTCATTTTTATTGTGGTCTATTCAGTCATTTCTTTGAACCGTTACGTTTTTTAGAAACTTGAAATTTATATAGAACTTGGGCCTTTTTTCAAAGTTATAAACACAACGTATACTACTTTATAAATTTAGGAGGGTGCCTTAAATCAGTTAACTTTAACTTAATTATTATTATTTAAACTACCTCTATTATAATTAATGAATTACTCCGTATTTCATTTTGGAAAATTTGTGTTTTCAGAAATGTCATCTTAGAGACATAAATGGTACAGATAGCTGAGAGAAAAAGCATATTTATAGAATTTGGTAATTACTGATTTTATTAACAAATGCTCAAGAGAAAATCTATACCCTTTTTTAATGATACTGATTATGAATTTGGATTTTGAAATCAATTAATTACCTTTCAAAGATATGTATGTAGTCAGTTAATTGGATTTAGATCAATCACCGAGTTTCACAGAGAAGAGGTTTCATTTTATCTTTTTATTTTTGTCCAGCACCAATAGTAGAACAAAAAGCTAGAATTTATTTAATTTTAAAAGTTTTCTACATAATAACACTGCTGAGAAATGAATACCTACATTTAACTCAGTTTAATATTATCACATTAAAGGCAACAGAGGAGGAAAGAAATTTTAAAATATAATGCTTTATATATCTAAAAATAAAGCGAATCACAAAAATTAACTTAATGGAAAAAATTATAGAGAAACCTATGTTACATGTAGACTTTAGAATACTTTCTATTAAATTGCTTTATTCATTTTTTATGCCTGAAATTGCTTTGTACGCTAAGTTAAGACTTTTCCAGTTGTAATTTCGGTATCAAAATAATTTGTATTAAAAGACACTTTTTACGAACATTTTTATTTTTAATTTTCATTACATGTAATAAATGGCAAAAATGAAATTTTTAAATGTATTTATTCCTTTAATAAAATTCACAAGATCAAAAACAAATAGTTACAATATTTCTAATGGCACAAATGACTGCTTTAATTAAATTATGAATGATAAAAAAATGCAATAAGTACAATAACAGGATATCATAAGCAGGTTTCAATACATTCACAATATCCAACACACAAACATAAAACTATTCTACACATTTTAAGCAATGAAATATAAAAATTCTATGTAACAATTTCAAAAAGTATAAAATTCAGTCTTTAAATATAACAATGACTACAATGCTTCCAGTCAAAATAAAGAAGCATTCATAAATGTGTGGAAAATACAAAAAAAAAAAAAGAAAAAAGAAAAAAAAAAAAAAAAAAAAGTTTATTATAATAAGAAACACTTTTAAAATTTTGATTTCTCATTTTTTTTTAAATTCTAAAACTGTAAATTCTTCTGCAATAACAAAAAATACATTTAGACATGCAAAAATATGGCTGCATTTTAATTTAATATTACAAAAGTATTTTTGTATTTCAATATGTAGCAATTAAGTACAAAATAATAAAAGTATATAGTACAGGTAATTTTAACATTTTAATTATCTTAGCATGATTTTGTTTTTAAAATTAATTTAATGATTGTATAAAGCACTATTTAAGATGATAATAAACACTATATCTATATATTTAAAAAAAAACTACCATTACTAGCTCAACAGTTTTTAAAATGTTAGTCTAAGAAAATTATTTAAAATGCAGATTTTATAAACATAAGAAAGCCTCAAATGTTTTAATTTCAATTTGGTTGAAAAACACTATGATTTAAAAAACTGTATTGACTGTAAACTGTACTGTAAATAGACTATATGCTTACTTTTTTTACATAAAGCATTGCAAATAGCATTAAATATAATGCCGACGAGTGTATCAGATAAGAAGATTAAGTTGTCATTTTATCACATACACAATTTATATTTTAAATGAACCCAAATAAATATAATACACATAATAAATTTAAAAGCATACAAATAATTTCATTAATCTATGTAAGTATTTGTCTTGACATGGCAATATAATAATCATGAAATATTTCTAATATTTATAAATATGTCAAAGGACAAAAATACAAAAGTATTTCATATTAAATCAATAAAACAACATTATAAGCATATGTACAACTTAATATTTCAAAATTCTTCTTTTTTTAAAGTACAAATACTGGTGATATAAATTGTTTTTAGTAAATCAAAGAATTGAGAATAGTTTCTGTCCCATACTGGTATTTTTTGTACAGGTTTTTGATTCAATTAAATATATAAATGATAAAAGCAGTTAGCTATTAAAATTACATTTTACATTGTGTTTAGAAATACTTAGGAAAAGAATTTTACAAAAGATTTGCACCGAAATTTGTTAATTAAGAAGTTTTATATATATGTGTGTGTGTATAAACACTTTCTAAGTCTCGTTCGTAAATAAGTTATTTTCATAAAAAAGTATTTAATATTCATTATTCACAAAAAACATAACTACATTTTATAGAACTGTCATATTTTGAGGTAGAGAAAGTTTAATGTTGCTAGACATTTAAAACATAGAACGGATTTCTATATTTTATTCTGCTTTCAAGTCAGCTTTACAAATAGAAAAAAAAATATATGTACAAGTTCATTACAAAATGTTGTTTCTCTCAAGTGCAACTACTCCTAGCTATGAAATTCCCCAAAAGAACAAAAATGGTTTTATAGACAGACACTTCCTTCAAGCAAATATTAAGGTTCTCAAATGAATGTTTTTACGCAACTGTAATTTGACAGCAGTAATATACAGTAATTATTGTTATCTCTTCTTTGATGTTGTGATATCTCTACGTCTTTCCAGAAGCATGTGATGTAATTTAACCAGACTTGTAGGTCCGGAATGAGAAGAAGGTACTCAGTAAGTACAACACCGAGTTGATAAGACCCAGGACCTAGTATCGGGAAAAAATATGAAGAAATAAGTATCTTTTGACAGCAGGAAAATTGTAAAGTTCTCATGCAAATAAGTGCACATAAATGTTACCATTCTACTAACTTCTCCAGTAAATTTTAAAAAATGTATTTATTAATAGACATAAACGTGCTTATAATAAATTACCATGTGTGTAATTCTCTACTAGAAGGAAATAATTACACAGTGTTCTGTGTAATAAAAATTGTATTTGGTAGATATTCAATTAATAACTTTTTACTATAAAATACCATATTTATTATACTTTAGATAGCTTAGAAAAAGGGGGAAAATCATATACAAATTATACAATGTTTACAAAACAAAAATTCTATTCAGTAGTCTATCATATTCGTAAATTTTGACATAAAAAAGATATTTATTACGTTTTAATTAGCTAAAAAAAGTAAAAATTTTATATTTTTAAGCTCAAATTGAGTAGATACACTAAATTTTAAAAAATCTGATGTGTACACCATATGACTTCCTAGTACGGAATATTAAATTATACGCATTTTTTCTTACATTTCATTTAAACTTATTGGATTGAATTAAATCTACTTTACCATAGCAACACTCTGGCGCTAGATTCACGTAACAGTATTATATTTCGTTCATATTATAACTCATGATGCACAAAATTTATATCATTTAAAGAATAGAATTATCTAATCGTTGCACACATGTTCTATTCAAATACTATAATAAAGCTAGAATGATGTATAAAAGAAATTAAGCAAACAAAGCAAAAAAAAAAAAAAAAAAGAAACAGTTTTTCACAGACGATTGAATATTTCTCATTCAATTAATTCAGTTCTCACTTTGCGAGAAGGCAAAAATATATAAAAACTCAAAGTATCCGTATTAAAAATTACGAAGTAAATCTTAAACACTTATTTCCTCGAAAAAATTCCAGAAAGGATTAAGCATGATTTAATTCGCAATAATAAATGAAGGCGTTATTTTTGTTGTTGCGAAGCTTAGTCTCTCTAGATTGGCAACAAATCTACAATTCTGCTGTTTCAAATGTAAACAAATATGTCCGCCATGTTATTTAAAACTTAACCGCACTTAAACAGCTTTTAAATTGTTGATAATTGTACAAATATTGCTTCCAGAATTACGAAAGGCATAAAAACCTTAACCGGAAGATAAGAACAACATAATTCATTCACTTTTAAAGCAAAAAATGTACAATTTACAAACATATATGAGTAAAGAAACTGAGATCACTGAGATAGGTAACAGAGTGGATATATTTATATACGTTTGGCGCGGCCGATGGCAACCAAAATACGAGTTGCACATCTACATGTTATAGCAGTCCTATGTACAAAATTTCAACGTTCTGAGTCTACTCGTTCTCGAGTTATGCGAGATACGTACGTACATACGTTCGTACAGACGCCACGAAAAATTCTCTTCAGAATTAATTTTTATAAACAGTTTTATAATTTTTTTTTTTTTTTTTTTTTTTTTTTGAGGAGGAAACGAGTCTTTTATTCTGTTCTTACGTACAGATATCACGCAAAAACATCGTTAAATTGCATTCGATAGCGGTCAAAATGGATATTTTCGTTGAAATATGCTGCCTGAAACTTTTCGCGATTACAATACTTCCTTTTTACTTCGTACAAGGAAGTAAAAAGAGACAGAAAGAAAGAAAGAGAAATGGGGACAGAGAAGAAAAGGAAAAAAAAAAATTCTACGGAAAATAAAGTACACATGCCTACAAATCTCACGCAGAATGCTGTCTTAAGCAAGAAAACCAGCACCTTTCATTTTTTAACTGTTTCTTAAATTTTTGCTCGAAAGTTTCAATCGATAAGTAGGTAGTTGGCATGGGTCTACGCGTTTCTACTAAACAGTTGACATGGGTCTACGCGTTTCTACTAAACAGTTGGCATAAATAATATAAACGAAAAAATAAGTTAAATTTTACGTTTTAAATCCCCTTAATAAACTTCCCTTCTTTCTTTGGGCGGGGGGGGGCGTTAATGAACGACCTATGAAGCTGCAAATAAATGTTTTAAGATAAATATTTAAAAACAAAGCCTATAGAACCTTTTCAAGCACTGTGTAAAAGCTGTATGCTACACTTATGAGTACCAGTTTTATTCAATACCATATTTGTGTGCGTTAAAGATTATGAATTTCTCATTAATCAAGCTTAATAAAGAATTTTAAATGTCCTATACTGCTTAGTTAGCAAAAAAACAAAAAAGCTGAAGCCGTTTCCTGTAGTCTTTTCTTCCACCCACAACTAATCCACAGCTGGACATCACACGAAACGTACGTCAAGAGAATCTGGAAAGGAACCGGCAGGTGAAAAGGGACGACAAAAAAAAAAAAAAAAAAAAAAAAAAAAAAAAGATCTCGGTGTGTGACGCTGAGGGTTGCAGATACTTTAATGGAAAGAGGCACAGTCTCCGTGAGGATGACAGTTCGAATGAGACGAGACGATAAGCTTCTGATATGATATAAGCTTCTGATATAAGAGAAGATGAGCTTCTGATAGTCAAAATTTTTGGAATAATTCTCAAAGAAAGTTCACAGAATTATCGAAGAACTTTAATCCCTGTAAAAATAAATACATACACTCTATAAGGTCTAACCTTGTTTGCTATCATACAAAATTTCTAGATCTCAGAGTGCGATCTGGAGACTTTTCGCACAGGCATGAAAATGAATACAGCAGGGAAAGGGTGTAAATAGCCTTTTGATTTATCACAACTCTTTAACAGAAAGGCACAGATTTCGTGCTCATAAAAATACCGACTCGACTACTTACGGAGATAACTTAAGGTGAATTTAAATATAAATTCGAAAGATAAGAAGTAGTGCTAGACTTCACTATTTAATTTAACCTAACAGGCTGACGCAGCAACCTACACCAGTGATAGATTTAACTAAACGGCCAGAATGCGTAGCCGCTACTAAGTTAATAGCTGAAGGACAAAAATGTGCTATACACTAGCGAGATGAAGCTCTGTCTAAACTTTTCGTTTCACCCGTTTAAATACTCTCACCCGCTTAATGTATTAGACAGATATAACAGTGATAAATTACGGTACTCAGGTAATGAAAGTGGGGAGGGGAATTCTAAAAAACTGAAGAAAATAACCAATAAATAAGACGAAACAATAATGTGATAAAATGTGATAAAACAATGGTACCTAGAGCCATCAAATTTTGAATAACGTAATCTTCCACCGAATATGGGCATCTGGATGCCCTGATTTGAAATTTGTTTTATTATCTATTTCATATTTTGTAACACTTTAATGAATTTCTGATTAACAAACTCAACGATTTCAAAGGAAGCAATAGCAACACTATTCGGGAGAAAAAAAAAAAAAAAAAAAAAAATCTCCAGCGCGCGAGACTCTGTATCGGAAATTCTAAAGATATGCTCATTTTCAAATTATTTTGCGATACTGCTGTTGAATTAAATTTTATGGTTTAAGTGCGAAGAACATGATATTTAATAAATAAAGGTAACACATAAAGCGTTAGAGAAACGCCCCTTTGGGCGTAATGTAAAATCTGAAAACTTTCAGACCTTTTTTTAAGCTTAAGTTCCAAAAATTCTCGGCTCAAACACGGAAATATTCGGTTTTTTCATTTAAGTTTTGGTATTTATCAACACTTTCTATACTTCTTGTTCTTTACTTAATAAAAGACATTTAAAAATAATCGAAATCTTATATATGCATTTTTCAAGTTGTGGAAAGCAAGGGGAATGAACTTCTAGCAGTGATAAAAGGAATGCATGGGAGCAAAAGCGTTTGAGAACCCCTGCTTTAAACATAAATTTTACGAAATCGACTAAACATATCTTTTAAATGTACAAAAAATATAGTTCCTGAGCAAACATATTAAACATTTTTAATGTGCAAAAAATTAATACATTTCCAAGCTTTTAACAGGAGGAGTGTGGAAAAAACTCAAAAGGCAACTTACTGCGGCAGCCATTTTCCCTTCGTAATCGTAAGTTCTGCGATACTTGTTGGACACAGTGATTAACAAGGACAGACTGGCGCTAATGTAAAAGATGAAAGCGAAAAGATGATACAGAAACTCCTGTAAAAACAAATAAATAGTACGATCAGTTGGATAATTAAATTAACTAAATCAATTAGGAAGTTTTTATACAGAACAATTCAGATGCATTAAACACGCGCAAATATAGGAATAAGATAACTTCTCAAAGCCCAAACAAAAATATACAGTCACTCTGATATTACATCATAGCTGCCAACCTTGACGTATGAAAAACAGGGAGATTTTTATGAGAAAACCCGGAGAAACTGGGAGATTTTCATGCTGTGCGGCGATGCCATTTCAAAGGCGCTATAAACTGGGACTCAAATTCACTTTGTAATGCATTATTCAGGTTGCTGAACAATTCGTAATATGGTTCTAATGTAAAATATCGTATTACTATTTAATTATATATTCTAAATTTTATACTTTTTGGCTAATTTTATTTTTTAATTTTCTTAATACTCAGAAAATCCGAATTGGGGGAAGACTTTTCTTTAATGATGTCTTTTAATTATGATACAAATAAAATTAATAATTAGTGTACATAATATTCAACTGGATAAACTTAATAATGTACTATGACTTAATAATGTACTATACAAATATTAATTAATTAAACACTGGTTGAATTTTCAATAAAAATCTACAAATAACTGTAGTAGATTAAGATAACTCAGATAAAATGAAATGGGTGCGCTCCAACTGCGCCAATGAATATCCCCCCGGGTCCTATAGTCCAACTGCGCGAATCGCAATTCCTTCTCCCCCCCCCGTTGTCTAAAGGGTTACAATTTAGTTTTTCGAAGCCAATTGTAGAGAAGAGGAAAATAAAAATAAAGAAATAGAATTACATATCAACAATCACAAGAACAAGTAAAGAATATCTAACAAGCAGGCTAATTACTTGAATAACAATAATAAATGCGAGAGCTAACAAAGAAAATAAAAGGTACTGGTAAACATACATATTAGCATTACAAACACCTTTCATTAATTACATTATTAGAGCAATGAGAGGCCTGATTTATTGAATAATAATATCATAAATTAAATAATTATAAAGCATATCAATTATATTTTTTATAAATTACATCAATAATAATCAAGATGTCAGAACTAGACTCGAAAATTTAATAACTTTATAATTTAAATCTTCATTTTATTTTTATTGGTGTATCTAATTTGTATAATTTTAAAATATGCTGAACCCTCTCAAGGTGGCCATCTCCCTACACCAGGAGTTCCCAACCTTTTTGTCCCTAAAAGAGCACATTCTAGAATATCTGTTGGACGGCGGGCACCATTTACTTTTTCAAAGTGAGTTTATAGTTGGATAGATTTAATAATACATGCACATAAAAAAGAGATCGATCCCATTTCGCTTTGTGCTTTTATCTGTTTTGAACGCAATACCACTTTCATTAAAAATGAGAAAACTTTCACGTAGAAATTTATTGAAAACTAAAAACACTTTTATTGTGATCGCACAGCGGCGGTCACATGTTAAACGATTGGCGGGCGCCATGGTACCCGCGGGCATAGAGTCGGGACCCGTGCCCTAGGACGATCACCTATGTAAGTGATCTGCATTTCTGAGAATATAAATAAGCATCAGTATCGAATGTAACCTCTCTATGAAGACCGCTTTCACAAAGGACAAAAATGAATTGGTGTTATGATGATCGCTTTAGAGGGGATTTACTGATTATTTAATTTATAAATACATAAATTTAGAATTAGCAGCAAACTCAGCGTTATTTCTAATGTTATTTTGACGTACCTTTGTACAGAACCATTTAATTTCCTGTAAAGAGTTATACTATTAGTGGAATTCATAAAAAGACTTCTGACGCTACGTATTATTCAAATACAAAACGCTATATTGGATATATTTCCGCTGTATAAAAGTTAATTAATTATTGAGCAACAATGTAAAATCGGCATTTCCACTCTCTTGGTGCCACAAGTAATAACAACTCTTTTTTTTTTTTTTTTTTCCTCTACATGCGTCACAGCTATTGTTCAAAAGAAAGAACAGTCATATACACAAATTTAACACGTCTATACTTTACTTAATTATGAAAATATTTAATTTAAATTTCACAAAATAATCTTGGATCTTCCGAGAGACGACACTATATTATTGGATATTTCCTTAACAAACAGAACCAAAAACCTAAAATTTGCTGTTTTTCAGGTCCCAAACGTTTTATCGACTAAATACTAAAACTATTAATATTTTATTTCATTCTTAATCTTAATAGAACGTACAGTTTCATACTCGCCCAGTTGCAATTCATGTGTGAAACCAAACACTTGAAGAAAAAAATTTGCCAAGAAACAGTACCTCCTAAGAAATGAAAAAAGGAAATCGGGTCACAGAGGTAAAGTTAGGTTTACTCCTAAAAGATGGAAGTAGAATTAAATATCATGAATGTAAACGTCCTTGGTTTACCGTTCCATTGAAATGCATTTTAGCTTCTGAATAAGCCTCTTTTCCGAATTATGTTCGGAAACAAGACTCTTCTTCTTCGGTTCACTCTTATGTGCTTATGGTTTTACATTTGCCGGCAAACAAGAAAACCGTAACATTGTAAGTGATAAAAATTTGGAATTTATTTAGATCATTAACTTGTCTGTACAGTATCATACAGTATCATAACTTCTATAATCATTAACTCGTATGAGTACTTGTACGCAACCAATCATATCATTAACTTATATGTATAGTAACTTGTTGTAACAATTTGGGGGGGGGGTATTTTATTTTTCTTTTAGATCATTAACTTGTAAGCATAGTATACATAGTTTACTATTGAGTCTACATATTATAATAGCTCATGAATTTATTATCAATACCTGAAAATAAATTGCATACACACATTATACTGTGATTATTATCATTAGCCCCCGCTTTTAATATTTGGCGTAGTAGTTCATGTTCTAGTTTCACCTTGTTCCATTTCTATCCGCCTACACTTGAACAAAAGAGGGTGAAACAATTAATGTTAATCTTGCAATGAAATCGAAACTGCTTCTTCGGCCTGTCGTAAAACCTAAATTAAAACGCTGTTTTCCTCTTTTCATAACAAAAGGCTCATAATCTTTTGATTTTAATAATACCAGTCATGGGTATAAATAGCGTGGTTTTAACGACAAAGAATATGACAGTCTGTTCCATTTGATAACTTTTTAAAAGGGATCGGCTCCTATTTGTGTTATATATGTGAAAGAAGTTTCGGAAATCCCGCGGTGGCGATCTTTTCAGCATCAAAAATTTAACCCAGATCGAATTACTTTAAACCTTCTCTCCTTTAGCCATTCGTCCATCGAAGAGCTAGTGAGATCGAATGATGAGATGAAAAAATAAACTGAATACGATTATACTGCATCATTATTAAAATATACACCGTTATGCCTAGAGTAAGGACACGTTACATCTACGGCCTCCAAAGTCTTCATATGGTATGGCTAGTGTTAAGACGATGATTAAATTGATATACAAGAGATTCACAGATTCTCGTCAAAATGATATTTTAGCTGCCAATTTTGGATTACGCTTGTCTCTGGGACAAATCGGATGGCTAGTTTCAGCGTTTAAACTACTGTTAGGGCAGTGATTTTATCGGTATAAAGATGAAACCGCAAAATGATCAAGAGAAAAAATAAAGAAACTTTGCGGTCTAGGATTTATGTTGACATTTCTGCATTTCAGGATTTGCACTTACATTAAAATAAATTATTAGTATTTTGTGATATATTGATATCTTTGAAATGGATATTTCATAAAAGAATTCTGCCAAAGCCACTGCGTGAGGTTTAGATTTCTGCTGTAATGCAAAATGATTTGATACATAATTTAAATGCAAAAAGAATTCCTTTTATAATGCACTGTCTGTCAACACCACAATAACCCTGGAAAAAAGATAATTTAGCATCGACACCGTTTGTACGTCTGCTCTGCCTTTTTTTTCGGGGGGGGGTCCCATTTTCTTCTTTTTAACATGTGTGAGACTTTAACACTTATTCAGGCTGCGTTTTCCTCTAAGGCTACGTAAAATTAAAATACTTCATTGATAACTACTATGAAGGTGAATATATTAATTTATATTTACTTTTACAGCACTCTTAACAGTAAAATTTATTACATGTACTCTTTAAAAGTTACAGTACTCTTTATAGTAAAGTCTACAGTCCTCCTTACAGTAAAATTTATTATATGCAATAAATATATATAATTTAGACATATAGTTATTACACATAACAACATTTTCTGTAATTATTAGAACTAGATCTAGCAAATATAAGGATAAGTACGTTTTTATAATTTCTTTGTGCTTATTAAACTATGTTTAAATATTTCAGCCCTTTTATTTTACATGACTCAATCGCATCTTAACCATTCTTTGTTATAATCTCTTAATTACAGTTTAAATCTATTAAATCTGCTGCAACTGCAGTATTCTTCTTTTGAGAGGAGAACCACAATAGATTATAAATATTATCTTTCATGTAGATTCCACACATGCTATTATTTCGCACACATCTTTATTGCAATAAAGCGAAACATATTTATTGCTAATATTTTTTTATATGGCTTAGTCATTTATTTTGTTAATTAAACCAAAAACGTTCTGCCAGTATGAAAGTCTACTACCTCCTCTCCTTCTCTAGCTCACTCTTCCTGCTTCTCTAAACGTCGCGTCACTAAAATAATAATAATAATAGTAGTAGTAGTAATAACTTTCTGCTCTAAAGCGAACACAATTTGAGTAGTGGCATAATAGACAATTTGCCATTCATTGTTGTCATGTTTATGTTAATCAATTTATTAGAAATACAATTTGCCAAGTTGTTTGGCTGTATTCTTGGGTTAACAGATTGCGAATATTTGGATGTGACAGCATATATTACCTTCAATGCATTGTTCTTATGTCGACATACACATCCGTAGTTAAGTAAACACAGTGACTATAAGCTTCAATACATTTGTTAAGTATGTTGACACCACCTGAGAATCCATCCATTTTAAAAAG